TTTACGTCATTTATGATCCACCTGAAATTTATTATCCTCAACACAAAAGTCCTCAAGGCACCATAATTCTTCATCGAATCAATAAAACAAAAGATCAGTATATCCATAAGTATTTTTAAAAAAGCTGCCACCTGTTGCTAGAACAACAGCATTAAAATGTAAACCATGTAAAACATAAAAGATATCACCCATAGGGAAACAATGTGTTAAAAATAATCCAAATTCAATGCATTCAGTTGCTTGGCTAATGCTTCATTTGTATTATTGATATAAATCACAAAAGACATAAATAAAGAAACATTGTTTCTCATTTTTTATTCCATTAAATCCTTCTGCTCTATATATCTTGAGCTGTAATAAATCTTTAATCAATCTTGCTGAAACTTTAATGGACAAGGAGGGTTGAAAATACTTGAATGTTTTAATGTGATCCATAATATTGTTATGGCAAGCTATAATAATGACTGCAAAGTCATCCACAGCTGTAAATAAAAATTGTGTACTCGCCAAAATCAGGATTTGTTTATCGATCAAGTGCTTGATTGTAGAAAATTCTCCAATCCGAAACCCCTGGAAAAATAGAAAATTAATGTCAATTCCTTTAAAAGGAAGCTTTTCCTCTCCTATTAAATTTATATTTATTTCGCTTCATTGTTTGTCTTCCTCTTTATTTCTTTTCCTTTCTTCTTCACAATCCAATAAAAAAAAAAGTTTGCTTTTCTTTGTGCTATTTCCTCATATCCTGTTGCACCTGTGAACCAACACAACTTCTCATCTGTTTGTTATAACTTTACTATTAAAGTTTTTCTATCTGTTTCTATAGGTATTAAATCTTGAATCTAGTTCATGCTTATTATTTCTACCTTTTGTCTAGTCGATATCGTGTTTCAATGAAAGAATCTTCGTGAGACTTGTTCTGTCCCTTTTTTATTGCCGTTTTTTCTATAAAAATTATTCGCAATAAAGTTTCATGTGTTTTATGGGAATAATGATGAGATAGCGTGACTGAGGTAGCAAATTGACTGGTTTTTGTGGTCATAGCTGTATTTTTAAGAGTGGGTGGTCATAAATGTGCAGTTTGTTGGGCTTAATCATCAAAAATACAGCCAAAATTACCTAAATTTAAAGAAATTTGTTAAATCTATTAGAATATGTCTTTAAATTCAACCAGTCCTGTAAGTCTGCCAAGAAAATTCATCAATCTTCACTAAGAATGTTGCGTCTTTCTCTTTCTTTACAATCAATTCACTTCCTACTTGGCTTTAATATATAAACTCAATTATCTGTTGCCGCTAAAGGAACACGTGCATGCATTTACGATGATTAACTTTGCTGACTTGCTAATAAATTTTTCTTTATTACTTAATTATTTCTTTTTAATCAAACGAGTCTCTCTCACTTTACTCTGTCTGTCGTCATCTTAATGAAAAGCAGTAAATTTTGAGAGAAACAATGATTAAAATATTTAATTAAAATGTGTTAATAATTTTCTACGACTGATTTCGTGTTGAGCATTTTAACGGAGTTTATTTATGCAAGATTTTACTATAAAATAAATATTCATATATGTCTGTGAATGTGTGATGATGTGTAGACTAGTAGCTAATTATTCAATAAACAGGAGCTTTAATCCGACTGATTGGAAATGTTAAGATTTAGATAAGAAAGATTGATAAAGGTTGTTTTGAGACTTTTTGATTGCTATAGATTTAATTGATGCTGGATACACTGAATAAGCTGAATTAAGCGCTGAATTCAAAAATATTGTTTGAATTAATCCTTAAACTCCTGAATTAGCTAAATTCAGCACTGCTGAAAAAGTTGAACTCAGCACTGCTGAATTGATTGAATTCAGCATTGCTGAATAATCTGAATTCAGCACTTTTGAAAAAGGTGAATTTAAAGCAGAATATTTTTAAAGCGGTTTTTTTTCAAAATTTTACTAAGTTATACAGCACCAACATCAAAAAGCTCTCATATAGTATCATTTAAGTTGGTTGAACCTTAGTCATCACCACAAAATCTTCTTCATTAAAATATTTTAATAACTTGTTGACAACGGAACAAAATTTTATGTTAAAATATATATAAAAAAAATCATAATTCTCATTTTTCATTAAGTATTAAATTAATTTGATATCTCTCTCAAAAAATAAGTTTTTTATCTATAAGTGTGACTGAAAATTTATGTCGTTGAAACTTAAAACCAATTCCGTCATCCCGTGACTCATCGGCACCTGATTTGTTTTATTTATCACGTTTTATGTTACGTAAAAATATTTTTACTACTCGCCAATAAAAATCTGAAAAAATAGTAAGTGGAAATTAAAAACTTCGCACATCCTCGACACTCGATTTCGTAAAGAAAATTAAATTTTTGTTTGTAATCACGAATTAAGATATCGTCGACTGTTGGTGGTTGATATGAGTTGGCCTGATTTCAATTGCGTTTTATAAATCACTTTAAAGCAGAGAAATACGGGAGTAAGCATTATCAAAAAATAATCGAGTGTTTTTACGTGATTTAACAGACGTAAACGAGAGATTTTGTTTCTTTATCGAATTAGTTTTGCTGTGAAATTGGAGACATGATAATGTGAGTGAAGCTTTGTTAAGATGATCATGATAATTAAGATGATTCAGGGTAGATTAAGTCTAGTTTGTTTGTTTTGAGGATTCACTTAAGTTGAAGCCATTTACTAATAACGATGGGGAATATACTCCTGTATTGTTAAGGCTCTATCTCTACAAACTTTCTGTGCTTTCCTATTAAAACAAGCTGCATCCCACACTATTACTCAGGAACCAGAAATTATTAGATTTGAGGCTGTGTTGAGGCGCAAATTAATTTTATTTAACCTGCTAATTAAGTATTAATGGCTATTATAGATGATATAGAATACGTTAATTAGACGATTTCGATACTCGACAATTAGTAGGTCATATGCCTTTAATTGGATATCTGTAAATTTTCTGTGAAAACAATTAACAGACATTCTGTAATTCCTGTTTACTTTCAAATTATTTCTTACTCTTATCACCTTTATTTATTTTCAAATTCTACTCAAGTAGCTCTTTTTTTTCCTTGTTTCATTTCTCACGCTAAATATGAATTATCGCAATTAAGTTCTTTTATCATCTTTAATTTGACAGATTGCAATATCGCATGAAATTTTATTAATATTGATCGGTTTTCGTCTTAATTAATAAATTTTTTATGAAATTGTGTTGATAATCATTGTTTTATTTCTGGGTAGGTTTATAAATACACTTCAATATTTGGATTTGGAATTTTTGGTGACGTAGGAATTGGATAGATGACAGCACACTTCAAGTTTTAGCTGATTTTTGTTGCTATGAGTTAGGTTGAGAGCTTTACAATCTTTTAAAATGGTATTTTAAATTCATTCAATTTAACTTCTAGTTTAAGAAGCTCCAAGGCTGCAAATTCCATCAACCCAGATTTTTTTGACGCAAAACCTTTCAGTTCATAAATTCTAAAATCGATAAATTTAAGCTTCAACCTCTATCTTTAAGAAACACAAAACTTTCTTGTGGAATTAGACTTGAAATGTGCAACAAAACATCTTGAATGTCTCTCCAGCTTTTTATTGTGTATCCAAATTGCAATAAAATACAGAATTTATTCATGATGGAAAAAAAAGAACATTAAGAGAGGAAGGAACTCACTTCTCATTGCATTTTATATCCTTGAAGTATCGCATTTGCTTATATGCAGTCTTATAAATCAAATAAATAAAATTGAAATTCATCTCTACTTTAGCTCACATCACATCCTCAAAAAAAAGTTTTTTTTATACATTTTGAAAAGCGTAAAATTGGAAATTCTACTTTTCCTTACTATGAGCAAAATTTATTCTAAATTGCTGAAAAAAAATCTCGTATTTCAACGTGAAGCGATTCTTATGTTTTTACGTTTACATCTTTTTTGGAGATTATAAAGACTCGATATTATTTTTTCGTGATATTTTATTTTCTTTTTGTTTGAAGATGATGATGATGAATGCCTTAAAAATTTTGTTCAGATTTATTATCATGTTGTGGCTGGTTATCTTAGCGACGCAATAATTTATTAAATCAGGTATTTTTTGAGATTTAAGATGAAAATATTTTGATGATGATAAAAATTCGATTTTGATGAATTCTTATGTATTGAGCTTAGCTAAATGATGCGCTAAATATATATGCTGATTAGCTAAATGCCTAATTTAGGGAATTTGCAAACTGGTGAAGGAGTTAAGCTCAGCAGCCTGTCTGTAAACAACAAACAGAAATTAAGTAAATATCGAAGTTCGAGTCCTACTATATTAAATAGGTTTTCACTATCTGTAGCCAAGAACAACCCTATCTGAGCAAACAAAGCTTTTTGAGTAGTGCTGTTTCAGCAAATAAGAACCCCCAATTCTAATTTCATTTTCCTATTACGATAAAAAAAAATTCTTCAATATTTTGTCGTTCATCTTAAATTACGTTGAAATCATGTTACATGTAAATCTAGTTGTTATGACATTCTCAATATGCTTTATTCTTACAGCTAATGAATATGTTGTGCGAAGATGGAAACGAAATTTGAGAGTAAATAACATTAATTTTTTGCCATCTTTCTTTATACTCTAAAATGATTACAGCTTAGAGTTATGTGGATCAAAGTCATAATCTTAATTAACTTTTTATTCCATAATTTTGATGATTGAATCGCATAGCTTCATTTTGAGGAGTTTTTGGTGGTAATGAGAACTTGCCTGCAATTTATTCAACTAGGGATTTACCGATTACTGACTTGATGCAAGTTAGAATCGTCTTTAATTTGAAACAGATTGAAATTTTGATGATAATGCGTTTTAAAGCAATCACTGTAATAACCTTTCAACTTATAATTTTTTTCTATATTTATCTTATGTCTCCCATCCTTTTGACACATTGTTGCGACCCAATTATCTAATTACGTCTTTTCTTATTTTCTATTTGATTCATTTCAGTGCAGACATTACGATAAAGTTTCATTAGAAGAAAGTTAAGCGACAGTCGGAAGGAAGTGAAAAGGACACTAAGCTTTAAACAGAAATTGTCGCTGCAATCTTCATCAATCAAATTGTTGGAGTGAAGAACGTGTTCCGGAAGTTGCAAGGTCGTGAAACTGATATCAAAAAGTGGAAAGTGCATATTTTACAGAAACAGGAAGAGAACAAGAAATTCCATAAATTTTGTTGAAACGCACGAATGTTCCACGTTGAAGAAGAGGTTAACGTTGATGTTGAGCTATTAGCCGAATGTGGACAAATAGCACAACGTCTTCGTAGTCTCGAGCAGGCGTGGCGTATTGACTTGAAGGATCTCCAAAAGAAAAGTTTATGTAATTTTGGCAAACCACCACTTGCGACAACAATTTCGTTAACACATAAATTGAATGATATTTGGGATATTAATGAGAATACAACGGGTGCTGAAGATAGTCCAGATTTAATTAACCATTTAAGATATTTAGAAGAAACAGTCATAAAAATTCATCATCAACAGGAACTGTTAAGACATACGACAGAGCATCATAATAGAATCGCAAACGCGGCACATAAAAAAGTTTATTATAGTAAAAGTAATATGAATTATTCAGCATCATCGGGGAATAATAGTAAGAATAATAATATCAATAACAACGGCAGTAATGACCTTACGACATCACCACAAGCTACATCAGCTTCAATGGCTATTCATGAGCATGTCAATACAAATACTAAAAATGAGTCAAATAATGTAAGCACTACCACGGTATTATTAAGCAGCAGAGACAATAAGAAAAAAATATTTACTGTCGACGATGACGAAAGCACGGATGATGATGATAAAGACCAAAGTAAAACAACAAAAGTAAAGCTAACAACAACTCATAGCAATAAACAGTCGCAAAATATTTATCACCAGCACCAGCAGCAACAGCAACAGTTGAGCGGTAGAATAACAAATGATGACTTGAAATTGCTACTGCGAGAATTGAAGCGGAAGGTTGACTATACCGAGAAAATGAATTGGTTATGTAAGTTTAGGTCAAATACAAATTATCATCACATTTTGAATAATTTTTCACTCGGGTCTCTATTTCATATTTCTATAGAGACAGATTCTAAAACGGCTACTTTTTAGGTTAATTGAATTTTTAAACGGCAGTTTGTCTGCGTATTGGAAGGAGTGACATTATGTCCTAAAGTAGCAAATTAACTTTGTTTAACAGCGCTGAATTCAGCACTGCTGAACAAGCTTAATTCAGCACTGCTGAACAAGCTCAATTCAGCATTGCTGAATAAGCTGAATTTAGTACTGCTGAACAAACTGAATTCAGTACTGCTGAACAAACTGAATACAGTACTGCTTGACAATCTGAATAAGACAAATCAATCTCAAAATGCTGAATAGACTCTAGTCATTGCGTTTCGAACATTTCTCACTTAAAATGACAGCCCAGCCTTTCTTATTTCTGTCTTTTGTTCAACAAGAACCTTTTTTTCTTCCTCTTTATCATCTGCTGTCCAAAAGATACTTTTTCACAAGTTCTTTCTTATGTCCTTTTAAATATTTTTCTTTCGTCGTACTTCTTTACATTTTAATGGGTTCCTTGAACAAACATTTTCCTCGATACATTATTTTATGGTATTTTATTTGATACAAAAACGTGCTGTGCTTACTTAAGTAAATGACTATTCGATAGACATGCAGGGGTGATTTTAAATGTTCTTGTCTCACACATTCATTTAAGTTCCTTTGACCTTTTGATGAAAATCACGGATGATGGGTTAAAGGTCAAGGTTTTGTTTACATGATGTTAATGAAATTTTTGTGGCTTTGGAACTTTCATTAATGATGTAATTAGCTAACTACATGAACTTTATATTATAATCAGTAAAAGTTCTTGATGAGCTTCAGACATGAAATGTTGAACTTTGGGTTGTGAGGCATTTGAAATGAAGTGAATTTTTTGATGACTATAAATCTTAAAGCTGTTCATTTTGAACTTTTTCAATCATAATATCAATTTCTATTATAACTTTATCCTACGCCTATTAAACATATCCTTTTGTGTTACCAAAACAGCATGTCAAACTATGTTTTCATTCATGACTACGTCGAATGCAACAAATAGTCAAAAAACATAAATGACGACCCATATCCACGTCCTACACAACAATAAAAATAAATAAATTGCCTTTAAACATCCATTATGCTATACTGTCATTTTCAAATAAATTTACACAAAAACCATTGATTCATAATGTCACAAAGCTATTGACAAATCGTCTCTATTGAATAAAGCATCCGAAAAAAGTTCAATTTCATTCATGGAAGTGACTTTTAAATTACTTTTTGTGCCTTTATCAGAACACAAACATATAAAATATCCTTTTGAGGATTGCAAAATTTCAATTAGATCCAATTCATTAAACTTTTTCGTAGAATTGAGGTTTGTATGTACAAAATTACAAGGTAATGCTCTACCTTAGTTTTATTATTGTAGATTGATAATCTCAGTCCATATCTCATTGGAAATTTGAGCTTTTCATGTAACGAAACAAAAGGAAAGTAAGTTGGATAGATGGGATATCTCCTAGGGGGAAATTTTGCTGACGTTTGTGGGACAGAAACATAAAAATCAAACATAAGCTTTACAATTAAAGAAACAAATGAAATGTTTCTACCATTTCCTTATAATTTCAATCACATCAGATTCGATAAAATCTCCGCAAGGATATCAACAACAACCTTCAAAAGCTTTTATCAAAATTGAATTTTCATCATGTCTCTATGCGATATCAAGTTTTAACTCTCAACTTATGGTATACATTTCATGAGATTTAATTATCATGTGATCACAAAAGAAAATTTTCTCATTCATTCAGTTCTATTTCCTTGTCTTTGTCGTTTCTAAACTGTTTTGTTTATTTATTTTCTTTCATAGTGAAAGCATAGGATATGTTTTGTCTATTTCGAACTGTTTGTCATTTTTTAATAAACAATCCATTCGTCAATCAATTGTCTTTGTGTGATGGAATTGGGAGGAAAATATCAGTGTCTGAATTCAGCTCGTTCAGCATTTCTGAATTCAGCTTGATTAACATTGCTGAATTCATCTTGATTAATATTGCTGAATTGAGCTCGTTCAGCATTGCTGAATTCAAATTGTTTCTTATTGCTAAACTCAGCTAGTTACTAAATTGAGCTGTTCCTGCTTTTTATCTACACCACAATGAACTCATATATTCAAAAGTAAACTTTCTCAGAACCCACGTGTAGGCACAAGAAGAATTACAATTTGTAAAACTCAATCCCAAACAAGCCCACATAAATAAACTTCTATTTCATTTGACAATTTGTGTTTAAATGATGCTAAAAATCAATAGAAAGTTGATGGCATCTTTATCCACTTCGTCTTATGAAATATTCAAGATTCTGTATCATGTTACAGTTCCATGTTACGATGTTATTTATCATCGTGAATTTTTAATACTCCACTTTTTTCCCTCGTGCTCATCGTCGTCTCCATTCATTGCGTTTTTTACAATACTGAATAAAATATTTGAGAGCCTAAGAAGTAGAAATAAATTCGCATTTAATTTTATACCATAGAAAATTCAACAGGTTTGTGACTAGATAATGTAAATGGCTTAATTATAGCTATATAATTGAAATATTCATCAGAAGGTATGCTTTAATTGAATGAGGAAATTGTAGATATTGAAATATTCATATATACAATTAATTTTCATACATTAAGGTTCAAGATACTTTAAATATTTTCAACGCACAAGATCATATCATTATATTTAATGATGAATATGAAATTCATATCAGAATCAATTGACTTTATGCCATTCATATTGAATTTCTATCGAATTCCGATGTCGAAAATTGATTTTTTTAGATCATCATTTATTGATGACTTCATAGGAATTTCATTGATCTTTCATGACTGTCTGTAGATTTAAAATATGTGGAGTACAATGAATGGATTCTGAATGAATTACGTTGTCGCTGTTGTTCTTGTAAATTAGAATTTGGTTTTTTATCAATGAATTTCTTACTACAGAACATAATAAAATCATTGTTAATTAATAGTAGAATTCAGGCAAAGACTTCAATGTCTCAGTTGCAAGGATCTAAATCAGAGTGGCTAGTGTAGTCAAAGATTATTTTTGAATCAGACCTGTTTTAAGTACTAGCTTTGTGCTAAATTCTAAAGCTATTATACAATTGAGCACAATCATAACTACTTATCACTATCAATAATCTACTGATAATGATCATAAACAGAGATATGACAAAGGTCGTCTATATACTTTTTGAGTGTAATATAAACAAGGCTGTTTTGATTTAATTAATTTGGATTCAGTTATGAAAAAGATAACAATGATAACAGAAATCATAAACTTTGTTTATCTTTCCGGTGCTGGAAATGAAGATGTTGTACCTATTTTCGTCATGTAAATTTGTTCTTTAGCTCGAAGTTTTGCTGTTAAAGTAAGAACAAATTTCTATACACTCATAACTCGTTAAAAATTTATTGAAATGCTTGAGGTTATTTTGTTTAACATGAAATTTAAACTTGTAGAAGCCAAATTTACATTTTTGATTGCCATAACATGTATCGATTGTCGCCGAATAACGCAGTTTTTTAATAAATTTTCATAGACAAAAAAAAATTCAATTTTACAAGTCATTCAAATTTTTTAACAAAAAAAAAAAATTCAATAAACTTCACCATGAAGCCGTTGTCATGTAGAAAAGTGCCGTAAATTGTCTCATTTTTCACACACACAAAAAGTATCACTCTCGTCAGCCATAGCTGTATATAATGTCTCTAAAGTATTTCATTTCATTTTTCTTCTTAGGTTTGTCAAATCGACCAAAACCTCCGCCATATCGAAAGAGCAGCCTACCAAAGCATAGCTACGTCAAAACAAAATTTTTGGAAATTTGTCACACGACACTGTCAGACGATGTGAAGGCTGCATTGCGACTGCCATCATTTGATTCATACGATTGGGAAGACTACGAGATTCTACATTTAATGGAAACGATGTTTTATGAATTGAATTTTATTGAGAAGTTTCACATATCATCGACGCGATTACGTGAATGGCTGTATGAAGTCTATAAACATTATAATGATGTTCCTTTTCATAATTTTCGGCATTGCTTTTGTGTCTCACAGATGGTAAGTTAATAATTATTTTATTATTGCTGTCAATTACTGTGGCTGTCAAAATGGAATTTTTTTGAGAACTGAATATGAAGAGTGAGTAGTTCTGTCTGTCATGACTGGATATTAATGATGATTGGGATGGAGAAAAGAATTAATTGGGAAGTCAAAGGATAAATGAAAAAATTCTAAAGCAAGAAAAGATTCTTATTAATCGAGGCGTTAGGTAAAAGGAGTTCATATTCAAGGAGGGTTCGTAGACAATCTTCAGTTCCTCACCTCCTTGAAAAAGGTAGATACAAAATAGAAAAAAAACAAACAGAAGTAGCAAATAATAACTGAAGGATTTCATTTGAATGCTTTCTACGAATACCAAAAAAGGTTGAATTTAAATGCCGAAAACCTTTTCAACCATGCTAGTTGAATCTTCACTGTCATATTAAATGCAAAAAAGAACTGCAATTAGAAAATGTGGAAATTCACAAAAATTCAAAATTTACTTTAAGCTAATTTTTGTTCATGTTCTTTAGTCTTCTTGTGTCGTGTCTTCCATCAAAGGTAATTTTTTTCGCTCGACTCTTGTTGGTTTTCCCTACGGTACACAAGATAAATTCTCGAGAACTTTCTGATAAAAAAAAGAAATTTTTTTCTCGCTCGAGTGAATTTTTGACGATACTTTTTAAAGCTTCGAATGAATTTGTTTCATAATATGCTGCAAGAAGCTTTTTGTTGCTTCTTGAAAAATCAATATTTTAATTTAAATTTTGATGGCTGCTTCGCTAGATGAGATGACGGCGAAGAAAAATTAATTTACATAAATTTGATTGAAAATCGATTGAGTTTGATCATTTATGTCATAAATCAAGTGATTCAAATATCCAATTATTTTTGCTCGATTATTTTTCCATGGAAACAGTCAAAAACGCTGTGATTTGAAGGATTTTGACCTTAAAAATTGAAATTGACGTGGCTATCATGTGGTGACTAATAATGGTAAATTGCTGTCTAAATTATTTCATTATAGTGATTATATATTGTGATAATATGCAGCTATTATCTAGGAATAGCAGATAATGAACGAATAATTTGTTATTAAAGTGCTTGTGTAGCGGGGAAAATTATGAAAAATTGGTTTGTTGAACTTCTAAATTTTACATGACCTGGGTCAATATGTTGTTAATTAAGCTAGTGGTGGCTTTATATTTTGTAATTTAGAATGAACTAAGTACGGACATTTGACATGCATTCCAATTTGTTAGTCGAAAAAAACACATGCATTAGTTTTGCAAAGATCTAAAGCTTTATATCACAGCTACAAGACACCGTCCACAAAATCTCATTAAAAATTGCAACCAACTCTCTTCAACCACGCCAAAATAGTCGGAATAACCACATCGAGTGCTTAAACAACATGTTTAATATAAATAAACTTCTATCACGTTACAAATCCCCGTAAATCTCATTTACGGACTGATGACAATGCAGAAAATTTGTAAAAGCTTAAGACACCGAAGAATCGTAATCAATATAATCTTTAAATCAATATTATTGTAGGAGCGTCATAGGATTAATGGCTTTTGTTATACAATAATTGAGGAGAATGGATGAAATGGAAATTTTTTGGTTTTGATAATTTGAGCTGAATTTTAAAGCGTTAAAAATAGTTTGGCTCAGAAATTAAAGTTTATTTTTGTCATAAAAATTATCGATTTCCAGGAACTAATTTTCCGACTGACTTTATGCCTCTTGACATGTGATTTACAAATAGGAAATAATTGATTAATAATAAGAGCTGAATAATTACTTTTATATGAACTCATTAGTAGGAATAAATCAAAGCGAGATTAATCAGGAATTTATAAAATAATTCTAATAAAATTATAGAATTTCGTTGTGCCGTTTAGAATTTATTAGTAACATGGCCCAAATTATAATCTTAATTTCCAGATTTAAATCGAATTTTAATTAAAAATCTTTCAAAGAAATAATCAAAATGCAATTAATCTCTTAATTAAATCAATTCAACTTTCTTGATAATTTTTCCAGCAACTTGTACTTCCAATTACATCATGAACTTTTTTCCCATCCTGAAGATATTTCATCGAATCTTTAAAGCGAATCTTTAAAAAAATTCACGTTAAAAGCTCCTCGAAAAAAACAAGTTGTTAAGAATTTATGAGAAATTTGCAGCTACTTCTTCCACACTTTTATATCATCACACTCATTTTCTTGCTGCTATCATTTATTAATAACGAAAACTTTTTTTTTCAATCCTTAAATGACGAGAACGAAGAACTGAAAAGATTAAAAATAATTAAGAGGAAAATTTATTTTCCACTGGCGTGTGCTGCCTAATTTTCCGTAGAATGTTTGTTTAGGAGGTTTTGAAGATGTTTATGAATACTAAACAATTGGTTATTGTGAGGCTGATTTGGTGGTTGGGGGTCTTGTTTGGTAGAGGAATTTTTCTATTCACGAATAAAATAAGCTTATTTTGTATTAATTAATGGTTTTTCTCTGGTTTATTTTCGGATGATAAATTCAATTTGTAGTCAAAGTGATGGAAGGGGTTTGTGAAAGTTGGATTGCAATGAAAACTTTATGCTTTGTCTATTTGTTGGACTTATTGTCTACATTTGTTATTTGTGAGAATCTTAATAAAGATTAAAAAACTGATTTTATCAATGAAGAAAGGTTCGAATCCTTAACGTTTTCAGAGGACCGAAAAATATTTTTTCTAAGCTTCTTTTTTTACATATTCTTCATAAGGGGCCGTTCACTTATTACGTTACGTAAAAAACGACTTTTTTTCACCCCCCTCCCCCCTGTTACAATATGTTACAACTCACAACCCCCCCCCCTGAACGTTCATAATTTATTTTATTTTGATAATTTTTCATAAATCATTAAAAAGGTGGAAAATGTTTTTGGTGTGAATTTGTAAACAAATATTTTTCGTATTTTTAAAAGAAAGACGACAGTAAGAACGTTACATACTTCTTGACGTCCCCCCCCCACCCCTATGTTACATTTTGTTACAATTTTTCAAACCCCCCCTCCCCCCCAAAAATGATGCGAACGTAATAAGTGAACGGCACCTAATGATTATTTTTTCCAGGATTTTTTGCTATAATTAAGCATAAAAATTGCAAAACTCCTCAATATTCTCACACAAAATTCCTTGATCTAAATTCTAATCCATTGAAATGTCTACTTTAATAACTCCTCATAACATATGCATCACTCATCATATCCGTACAACTGTGTCAAGTATAATTCAAGTGGAGCTTAATTAAGCTTTAAGTTGTACGCCACTCACGTTATCCACAATGTTTACATTAAAATGAAGCTATATCAATGTCAAAGACACTGTGAGATGATGTACTAAGAAGAAAGAGTGTATTAAGAAGAATGAGGATGACTTTTTTCTAGAAAGATTTTTTTTCTTATATTCGCCATTGATGTTTTGAAATCTGAGATTAAAACTGTTTACTGATTGGATTTGGAAATCGATAGGTTTCTGAATCTAAAGGAATGTGGTTGTTGACATTTTTTTGAGAGTCTATGTGGGTTCGTCTCCTGCAAGAAACAAGCTTATGCATTTGCCTTCAGCATCTCCAAAATGCGCTTTCACGATAAAGTTTTCACTTAATTTCAATTTCCTTGCCATAATCAAAGCCTTTCATTTTATCGCAATTTTTTCTTATTTTAATGGAAAAAATTAATTTCGAAACTTTTGCGTCGTAATTTTCTCTTCACAATTTTCATTTCAATTTCCTTTGAAGCCACCTTGAACTTTTCTTGCTTATTTATTTTTTTTTTCATCACCTATTTTTTTCCCGTTCACAGATGTATGCGATTACGTGGCAAACAAATTTAATGAGTCGTCTAGGCGACATGGATTGCTTTATACTTTTGGTTTCATGCATTTGCCATGATTTGGACCATCCAGGCTATAACAATGTTTATCAAATAAATGCAAAAACGGAACTCGCCTTGAGGTATGTATGTTAAAAAAATAATATAAAGTCTTGTTCGTTACCATTTAAATATTAAACTTACTACGCAGCGTGTCTGTCAACAACAGAAAATCTTAAATTCTTGAGAACTTGTATTAATATTCATTATTTTAGGTACAATGACATTTCACCATTGGAAAATCATCATTGCTCGATTGCCTTTCGGTTGCTTGAATATCCGGACTGTGATGTGCTAGAAAATGTCACCAAAGACATGTACAAGTAACATAAGTTTGATTTAGTTTATTATTTTGATACCGAGTGGAATTTAGATGAGATAGTGAGATTATTTCTGAATTAAGACTCAATCTGAGGTTGAGTGACATGTTTTGCTCATTTTTGTGATTTCTGAGGTTACCAAGAAGATTTCCTTTTTCAGGTTGATAGTCAGTAATTTTATTACGAGGTGTGAGCATCATGAGAGCTAGATTAAGTCATTTTTGACTGCCCTACCTTCAATCTCTATCTTACAAGCAAATAAACTTTGAATAACCCTATAATCACCATCCACTTCAAAATGAACCTCCTTCCAATCCAAAAATTACAATTCCACTCGGGTTTTATGATTAATAGTTTTATACAATTCAATATGTTCACTATACAATCATAACTTTAATATATAATTTATCATTTCTGTCACAGGGAAGTACGTGAAGGCATCATAAGATGTATATTGGCTACTGATATGGCGCGACATAATGAGATACTGACACAATTTCGTGAAATTATTCCTATTTTTGATTATAGTAATAATTCACATAAAAATTTGGTGAGTATTGATAATTTTTTTGGAGGGAAAATTGTTGGAATTTAAGGGCGCTTGTTATGGAATGAATGAAGTTTAATTGATGAATGGTTTGTAATTTTGATTCTTCTTAGGCTTTGTTACTATTTTGTAAATGATAGGTTTCTATAGTGAGCATCTTTTTACTTTTGTCACGAATAAACATCCATCGTAGCTCAGGATTCAAAGACTTTACTCTCCCACATCATGTCCTAGTCCAACAAATCCACATTTATTGTCAGAAACATAAAATGTCTCTTCAATCCAAATTAATAATCATGAGTTTATTATCATGTACCATCATGTATTAAAAACCTAATAACTCATTAACATTTTAATAGAAATCCTTGCTACCGAGAATTTATAATAAAGTATGATTAGAGTTATAAATAGATTGATGGTGTGGAGCAGGAGATGATAAAGAGCTCAAAGATATAATGAATGACATGACCCTTGACATTGTAACATGTTCACACATATCCTTTTTAATGTTCTGATAGAATTTTTGAAGAAAAAAATTTAACTTATCTTTTGAAGAACTTATTGCCCATAATTTCTTCAAACTTTAAGAATTTCCAGGAAGTGCCCGTAAAATCCACACCTAAAGTACCTCAGAACATTTCAAAACCCAGAACCAACTCCATCTGCTCCCATTAATGTAAACCATTAATTTTCATCTTAACATTATGCGCTTCCGCATCCCATTTACGAATAGTTTCTAACATAAGTTTTCCTTATTTCCGTTCACCCAGTCAGTTCTTTTGTGTGCGGACGGAAACTATTCCACAAAAGCTTTTCTCACTTTAGTTTATTATGACCTGAGGAGATGAGTGTGTGTTTGAGTTTTGTTGAACTTTAATTCACTTCCATATACTGTAAAAATATCATTTATGAATAATTCAATAATTTTTTGCAATTTGTAATCATCTGTATAGCTTTGTATGGTGCTAATAAAGGTCGCTGATATTTCAAATGAAGCTCGACCAATGGAAGTCGCTGAACCGTGGCTTGATCGTCTCTTACAAGAATTTTTTGCACAGAGTGCTGCTGAGAAATTAGAAGGCTTGCCTGTAACTCCATTCATGGTGAGTAAAATGCGCTCTAAACTCAATGATTTTTCTAACTTGTAAAATTATACTCCATCCAGGATCCCGACAAAGTGAGTAAGCCGGGAAGTCAAGTGCGATTTATAGGACTGGTGCTATTGCCTCTATTCGAAGCACTCGGAGAATTATTACCGGAACTTGTTGATTTTATCGTCATACCAGTACGTGTGGCATTGGATTTCTATAAGTATGTATAAATCAACTGCATCGATGGATTAATTATTAATAAATTTAATTTATTATTCTCCTCCCCATCTGCAAACACAATAAAACTATTTATAGACGATTAAATGATGCCCAACAGAGAAACCGAAAGTCGCTGGTCGAAAATGAAGGTTCATCTGATGGCGGTGATGAAATTATTCCACGATCTCATTCTGGTATTAGTGTACGGTCACGTCGTAGTATTCCATCACAAAAGTCAGCATCGAGAAATTCAGTTGATGAGGAGCCAATGTTGATTGCTGCTGAACTTCACGATCTTCCAGAGGGTAGCGAAAGTGGAGATTCTGAGACTGCAACAGAAGTTGATGTGAGTTATTGGCAAATTGTTGGTCTTCCTACTTTCTACTTAATTGTTCTTGAAAGTTTGTTGGCTTATCCTTCAGATAGGTAGTTTTTTGAAGTTTTATGTCAAACAGAGATTTGCTCTGGACGTTCTTAATTTCATATTTTATATTAGTCTCTGTATGAAATTTGTTGATTTACTTCCTCCCGACTTGTTCCATATTTATCTTACATATTTCTTGCGTCAATACGTCATTCAATAAAATTATCCAGACTCAGCTATTTATAGCTCTTAATTAAACAACTCGAACCATAAAAATAGCTTGATATTTACTCAACTGTATTAAAACTTACTCAAGCCAGTTCTTCAAACACTTCCTTACTATGGAAAAAAAATATTAATTCATTAATTATCATTGCAATTCTCAACAGGTCGCTGAGAAGACATCTAAATTCAAGGTGGACACAGAAAGTCGTAATAAATTCAATATGCAAATGGTGCATCGCAAAGGTCATCATCGTGACAAGCGTCCATCGATGGTTAGTGAAATAGCGGGTCGAATGCGAGGATCTTACGGTAACATCTTACAAAATAATTACAATTCACGCACAACTACATTCGGTTCAAACCGTGCGATTAGTCTAGATCATTATAGTAATCATCGTCGTATGTCTGATGGAATACAAACTGTTACGTCCGATTCCACTGTCTATTATCATCAACGCTTACATGATCAAGATATTTTAATTCGTCAAGCGGCTGGTACGAAAATGAGTTCAAGCTCTCAAGGCTCTAGTGACGTTAAGCTACTTGTTAGTGAAGAACCTATGGTGGCAGCAGCATCCACAGGTAATAATTCAGCAATTTCATCTAAAATTCATACACCAACAATGATGGCTGCTACTGATATTAGTGATACAAACAGGGTACAATCATCAAATATTAATAATAATAATAATAATAACAATAATGAAAGTAGTAATAATAAGAATAATAGCAACAGCAACAACAACCACAATAATAATAATAATAGTAATAATAATCTTAGTAATAGTAGTAAACCAGTAAAGTCGAAATTGAGCAGTAGCGTAAATTGTAGTAGTAGCCCTAAATCAATTATTACACGCTTGAGACAATTAACAGGACGACTTTCGTTCTCATTTGATAAAGAATCGCGTAGAATGAGTAGTGGAACGCCACAAACAATTATCAATAAGACATCCCCGATGAGTTCAGTGAACTCATCATCAAAGAATAACAACATGATGCCAAATATATGCTGTAATACGAAAGGTGCTGCTACTGATGTGACGTCAAGAAATCGTGCTTATAGCCTCGATGTGCCAGCCACACGATATAATTATAATAGCAGCGCTGGAAGTAGCTATAATGGCAGTCACAAGAGTCTTTCATCGAATCGAAATGATGAGGCTGACGATTCAACAGATAATAATAGCGTATTTGCATCAAAAAAGATGAGTGCCGATGTGGAACCGATGGACATATGACAACACAGGTTAGATCCTGCAATTGACAATGTTACGGTTAAAGTTGACATTGCAGGCGATGAGACTGAAACATATTGGACAACAATTTCTTATCTTTTGCGACGATTTGTGTGCAAATGCTGTGAAAAAGAACAACAAGTGCCAACTGCAAGCGTTTAAGGACAACAATTATGATGAAAACATTATTATATGAAGGAACAATGATAAAACAACAAAAAAATATATATTTAATTAAATTAAAATTTTATTCTTCTATTAGCCAAAATTTAATAATTAAAATAATAAAAGAGATAAAAGCGATTCATCCCCTCCTTTGAAGATAGAGAAAGTAATTAAAATATAAATGATATACATGTATATGAACATAATGAAACTGATTATACATAGTTGTAGGGTTTTATGGAAGAAGAAATTGATGATTTTGCAGAAATAAATTTATATTATTGAGGTTGGGGACCTTCTTGCCAGGATTAATAATACAAATAGTAAATTGAAAATATTGACGGACTGATAAACAGAAAGATAGACAGACTGATTGATTATTTGCTGGATAGGGACACTAAAAGGTCATTCGGATTTATTAATGACTGAATACTGACAGACAAGAATACTGTCATAGAGTTCAGATGATTAAAGGATCGATGGACACAAGGGCAGACTGACTAAAAGGGTTGATTGAATGAGATTAAATGTACCATCGAACATACAAATGGACTGACAGCTAGAAGAAAAATAGACTGTCAATCATTTCAAGGACGTTAATGTCGTTTACAGTTTAGAAAAACTCCCTGAAACATTGCATATATTTAAAAGTCATTTCAATTTTCCCTGACCATAAAACCCTACAAAAACACAATCACAATATACAGCCACATAGAAACACAAAGTTGATAAATTTAATTCTATTTAATGTTTGTAAAAATGACGAAAAAAAAATGTTTTAACACAAAATGTGCTCTAAAAAAGTTTTCTCTCTCAAAAAAAGATTTTATGAAAGGAAAAGGAAATGTGATTTTTCATTCGAAGCTGGATGATTAGATGATGGAGAATATAAGTAGTTAGATTTGTAATAAAATTTGCTACTTTTTGGTGGCTAGAAGAGCTTTTTCATGTTTAGAGAGTATTGCTAGATTGAATTTATGTTTGAATTGACACTAGTGTGTCCTGAGAGCATCTATAGCGTGCTGACTACGTTTTGAGGTAAATTAAGTTTACGGATTCTTTAAAATATTAACAAAGTTTCATAGAAATTAAAATCTTATAGCCCCCCCCCCCACACCTTCAAAAACTTCTAATAAATTAATCCATAATCTTCATCAACTTTCTTTTTACCGAAAAAATTCTCAAACTCAAAAGAAAAGCAAAAACTTTCGAGTCTCCTTGACAGCAACTTTTCATTAACTTGTAAGTGAAAAGCCTTCTTCTTAGTACCGAAAAATAAGCAAAAAAAATTTTTTTTATCATGCAAAAATCTAATTTGTTTAAAGTACGATGAAAAAAAGGAAATTACGCCAAAATTAAATTAAGAAAAAAAATCTATAAACAAATGGGTCATGTTAAAGCCTAAATGAAAGAATCTATTGAACAATAGTAGATAAAATTTGTTAGAAATGAGTCACTGAAGGTAAGTGGCTAGGGCGCATTTTTCTTGTTTGTGAAATTTGAGTAAGTTTTTAATAATATTTTGAATTAAAAATTGGGAAAAATGCTAAAATGTATTTTTGTCAAAATTTTATTTCTTTTGAAACCTTAAATTTTGTTTTTTGAAATTTTGAATTTCTAAAATTTAAATTTTTTTAAGTTTTCAATACTTTCGAATTTAATTTTTTTGAACTTTAAATTTTTTCAATTTTACAATAGTTTTTAAAATCATCGAATATTTCAAAAATTTTGATTTCGACTTTCAATTCAGTTCCTTAAAAAGCTCACAAACCAAACTCAATTTTCACAATAAAATGCGCCCAAAAAAGCTGTATTAAAATCTAATCTACGATTATAATAAATAAAAGTCTCTTAGTGTATATTATGTGGAAGGAGCTAGCTCAAAAATCCAATTATGTCTACACATACACAATCACACACATATGTCAATCATCATCATTATAAGATTAGCAAAAAAGGAAAAAAGTCATTTACTATGAAAATAAAAGCTTTAAAAAATTTTTCATCTTTTTTTTTGTTGAAATTTTATTTTTCTTTTCAAAAATTTTTTATTTTATTTTCATGTAGCTTGTGCAAATGTATTTCCGTTAAGCTTGTGGTGGGATGTGGAATAACAAGTTGATCACTTTTATGTCGTTTTATCGTCATTCGTTTCGCTCTATTTACACCCCATTCATAATGGATGACTATTTTTTTTTGATATTAAGTGCATTCTATGGAATGTTGTGGGGCTGGGTATGGGTAGTAAGTTTAAAGGGATAAAGAAATGAGTTATTGAAGAATTCTTGGATGATTGAATAGCTCTCAAGTGATTTGATATGAACTAGCTATACCAACCTAGAGTATAGTAAGCTATGGTTTGGGAAGCACTAATCTATACAATAATTTAGCTCATTTCTAGCCTAGACAATGATATTTTGGCCATAAACTGCTTTGATTGAAAGTATTCAAAACTATAAAGTTTAAATTTACATCAACGACTTAAAGCTTCTCTATTAAAGTCTTACTCCAGCCATGAATCATCAAAAAAATCCATCCACCATTACCATAACCGTCATCCATCTATTTTCATACTAAGTGCATTAATATCATCACCAAGAGTTAAGTGAAGAACAAAGTGACACATTTTCATTTATGTCAATAACGAAGCAACAAAAGTGTAGTAAGCCATAAACGTTTCCATGTCATCCATCCGACTACGACATAAAATTGAGTTTTGAATTAATAAAAAAAAACATTTTTATAATTTTATTATTTATTAAACATGCATCAACTACTCACAAAATTACTTCCATCAAAAAGTTTTGTATGAAGCACAAAAAAAGTAAATGAAAATAAAAAGTTTTTCATTTATGAGCTTCAAAAATGTGGAAGGAAGAACAACAATGATGAGCTTATTGTGGACGATATAATTTAGAAACGAGAATTTGTCCGTGTGGATGGCAGTTGGGAGCAATAAAGTTTATATCCATTATATGTGTTTTTATTTTCATCAGTGCTTGTAAAATGAAATTTAATGGTCAAACGAAAGTTGTGCTGTTTACTTTTTTTTACGGTTGAAGAACTCCTCATTAAGAGGTTAGCAATATGCAGGTCAGTTTATGGAAATGCACTTTGTTTTTAATATTTCACGAGCTTTATCTGAGCTTTGCATTATGGGAATCTAGATCTGTATATTTATGGGTACTTCAAACTGTCAAGTCAATGAATCAGCACTTTTAACGACAAATCTCGAGATTTACACAAAAATGTCCACAAAATACTTTATTAAAGCTTCAAAAAATTCCATTGAGATGCTCAAATTTCCTGCCATCCTAAAACCTTCCTTTTTCTTTTTTTCTATACATTTAAAAATCATTTCCAATCTTATTTCCTTTCAACCCCGACGAAAAGGGTCCAGAAATCCGAAGCTTATCTGTTGATTGAGGTTAATGACGTTTAGTCGAGTGGACAGTCATAAAGATGTGAATGTCATACATATAAAAAGAAATTGGGAGAAGGTCAAACTTAACGATGTTGGGATAGGTCTGCAGACTTTTTTAAAAAGTATGAATGCGTTGAGCTTTTTATTGACTTAAAGCACGCTATGATATGGAAATTATCATGCTGTGACCTCAATTTGTAATTCAGATGGGTTAATTTGGTGCGAATTTGTGTCAAAAATTGTATTTTCGATGAATTGATGTCTACACATGAGCTAGCTGCTAGTTGGTATTTTTATAAGAACTTCCAAAAGGATTGGAAATTTATTTAAGTTTTAAATCTTAGTCAGTATGTTGCTGCTATTTCTTAATTATGTAAGCTAAAAGCTAGAGGCGTAAAAAGAGGGGCTGAACCCTCTCGAGTCTTTCTTTCTGACTACACTCATATTAAAAGCTAACTTTATCCACAATTAAATTCCACGGTTGGAACTGATCATCATATCCACCACACACAGTCCACAAAAATTTCTACAAAATTTTAATTTAATTTATTTTCTTTTCATTTTTAGTTGAATTTATTTCAATTTAAGTTATTTCAATCATCAGCATGCAGGTACATAAGAAGATTAAAATATATATTTTATAGGGATTTACATCCATTAGACACTGGATACAACCATGAGCTCACACAATATAATTAAAATTAAATTAAAACTACATTCAAAAGCTATGATGATGGCAACAAAAAAGAGACCCTTTTTATGATGATGATGAGGATGAAACTATATTTATATCATGGATGGCAAGTCCAGCAACATTGAAAAATAAATAAAATAATAAAAAAATAATTCTTATGATGTTTAAGAATGAAAATTGTATAACATTGATGATGAATCCTTTCTATACCTGTTGTTTAATATTATCTAATGTATTATGTATAAATCCAACACGTCAACATCATTCACATTAAACTATAAAAGCGATGCTCCACTTCTATAGAAATTTATGACATAAATAATAAGATGAGGAAATACAATAATTTGTTTTATTTGTATCTTCATGTCAGCTTGTCATGTATAGCACATGCATAAAAATCTGTTTATATGGAGAATATTTAGAGCAAATTTGAATGCACATCAGATTAAAGAGTGCTATATAAAAAAGAGAGTCTAACAAATTGTTCACGTAATCGGATGTGCTTATTTGATGATGTTTTGAGTTGTAAAAGTTTTGTTTGAATGTGCATTTTAGATGTTTTTTGTCTGAGATTCGAACATACAATATCATTTGCAGATGCTCTGCATCTATTGATACACATGAGGACATCAAATGTAACTTTTTAATATGACCAGTCATCCAGATGCTTTCTTATCTTCGAATACCACTTTGATCATCTCTAAAGTAAACATAGTAGCTGCTAGCTACAAACCTAGGGTTAAGGATCAGACCTAGGACAACATGCTTAGATTCATCCACTTAAAAGTAACGCCCGTGAATCATATTCAAATCTTTAGTAAAGATTGCAAGCTCTAATCAAAAATTGGTCTACAGTCCACACAAAAATCTCATTTACTGCCTTTCTCTACATAATAAAATCACAAATGTCAACATCATTTAACCAAGCACATCCCCATCTTCTGTATTATTTTTTCATTACACATGTTCAACATGTCAATTCAGCAGTCATGGTTATTGATCCCAATTTCACAAGAGTACATAAAAAGAAAGCTAAGAACATCTCAAAAAGACGACATTTTGGACTGTGTGACTTTTCAACTTTATTGTTCTTATCTTCAATAAAATGAAATGCTTTTGATGATACTAAGAACAAGAAGACGTGAAACTCAATTTTTTTCATCAGAAATAATAAGAAATTGTTCCGAAATAAAACAAAGTTTGGAGATTTTTAGGAAACACGAGGTAAATTGAGTCAAACGACCACAATTGAAAAGTTTATTTTTTGAAAGGTCTTCTTTTGTGTTTAATTTTGTTATTTTTTTCATGATCACAAGACAATCTTGTTTGGTCATGGATAGATGTGCTGATAGACTTTCAAGTGAGTCGTGGGAGGATGCATGACAAATGACGTCTAGTATTTGAGGATTGAGAGATTGTGAAGGATTATTAAACACTTCAAAGGAATATTTTCATGCAAGAATCTTTGATTCAATTTCCTAATAAAACATCACTTATGAACGACCCCCAAAGGTCGAACTTGAAATTTTATTACAAAAAATAAATTTTTTTCGTGTGAGAAAATTTTCGGTTGATTTAATGGGTTTAAAAGAGAAAGCATTGAACTTCCTAGAAGGAAATTTTACTACCTTAAGGGCGATGATGGTAAAGTCAAGCTTTGAATAATTTTTAAAAAGCTAAATATAGAAAAAGTCGAGGATTTTCCAGTCTTTTAACATGAAATCTTACTTTAACTGTCACTTCCATCGTCCTTTAAGACCTAAAAATATAATCTTTACAATTTAGATCCATGCGTTACGTTTCTTAATGTACCGTTGAATTATTTATTAGGTCACATCATGCCGCCCTGATAATGTCGACAATTCGAAATAGAATTCAGTCTATAAAGTGTTAACCTATTTAATGATACATGCTTTCATAACTTGTTATGGGAAGTTTCCAGTTCTTTAATGTTTCAAGGTATTTTATTACATGCTTTATCTGGTGACAACTTATAGGGGTACTCGATTTGAATTAAATTGGTTTCATTATTCAAACCGAGGACTCCCTTTTGACTAGGATAAGTCAATTTAAAATATGTAAGCATCAATAACTTATTATGAAGAGAAGCCTTCTTAATATTATGTCATAAATTTCAAAAATTAAGATTAAATATTTACTAGACATGAACCGTCAATAATTCGCTTGTCGAACTTCCAGTCTGGTACATTTGGAAGAATTATGACGACTTTAACTAAGTGTTATTATATTCAACAATCAGCCGATAGCTCCCAGCTTTAAAATATAGAAAAGTAATTAAATTATACACAACAATAGCTTCTACGCAGTTGCATGGAAGTTAATAATATTATTAGACATAAACATTTTGTGAAACAATCCTTGCAGAACGAGGAAAAAAAGAAATCTAAATTGAGAATACCAAAAAAAGAAATAAAGCTTTAGAAATTAAGAATTTAATTAAATTTAAGGAAATACAGAGAAGAATTAATCATATTTTTGAATGTCGTTAAACTTTATGGATATATGCTCCCTAATGTATTTATTCTTGTAAATCAATTGAACAGATGATGAGAAATTGACAAAATAAATGAATTATTGAATCAAATGAACCAAAATGAAATGTTTTTTGGAACCCACTAAACCCCCCTAAAGTAGTCAATGCTCATGACAAACGAACAATTTGCTTTTTTTTCAGGTGGAAATGAGACAAAACTTTAAATATGAAAGCAGATGAAATTTATGAAAACTTTTTCATATCCACCTGAGGAGACCAGGAAAGAAGAAAACCGATTAATATTTCAGGAAGTGCACAAAAACGAGGAATAAATGAAAGAGTTTTTCACATTTTTCTACCTTCGAGCATGTGATTTATGAACGTGGCCATGATAATGCAATCTCTTTCATCTGCTTTGTTAAAAATTCCATCCTAATTGTTTTACTCCACTTCTGAGGATTGCAATTGAAATTAATGCTTTTTATAGCTTTTGTGAGCTTTTTCTTCCTGAGTTTGAGTTTGTCTTGTGGGAAAAGTTTCAATGTTAAAGGAAAAAGGAGCTTATTGAAGTGATTATATCAGAGCTCTGCTAAGATCGTTTGAGATCTAAGAGTTGATCAAATGATTGTAGATTGAAAGACAACCCAAGTATTGAAGAATCCAACTTGAACTGAATTGGATTGATTTCAAGTTCTGGAACTTACAATTTAAAGTTCTAACAAAACAAACACATCAGCCTTCAACCTATTAACATTTTAACGAATTTCTCCCTGCAAAAAAAAAAATAAATTCAAAACCGTCTAAAAAATGTACAACCTAAAAATATCTCAATTTACAGCATTGACGCAAGACTTATGCCAGTTTGAATGAAATAATTCATCAATTATTCATGAGGTATGTTTATCACATTTCATCATAAATGTCTAGTTTGTTTCGCTAAGCACATCTAGAACAATTTTTTTTTATTTCATAAACAACTTTCTCTCGTATTTTGATGTAAAAATTGTAGAAAATAAGTTTTCATATTTTTTTTAGTTCTGACTATGGCTGTTGTGGAAATAAAAAGCTTTCTACCTGTCTATTGAAATATTAAAATCTTATAAATAAAAAGTATGACTAGCTTCATGTTTTCGACAGCAGTTCTAATGTTTAATTATTTTTGAGCAGCTTGAAGCTTAGTTACAATGTAATGAGGTGAAAAAGAAGGAATTCTGGTTGCTGATGTGCTGTAAAATCTTCTTCTTCAAGGGGAAATTGAGTTTGGATGAGAATTTAGAACATTCAGGGACGCTTAGTTGTATAACATCTAAAACCTCAATTTGATGACTCAGTCAATCTTAGAGTCCAGGTTGTAGGACTCCTCCGGTCACCCACTTTAGTCACAGTTCAAAAATTAGTAGATTTCCCTCTGTGAAGGATATACATCCCTAGAACTTTATCAATTAATTTAATATTTAATTTAATTTAATATTCTCAGTCAGTTCCTTTTCACAAATCAATAATCATTGATGTTTTAAATTGGAAACTTCAATCAACTAAAGCATAAATATTCAGGAAGAATAAAATCGATAAAGCTTTTCCAGTACTTAATTTCTTACTTCTGTTCTGCTTTATTAGATTTTCAATTCATTATAATTTTCCCTTAAGCACAAAAGCCAAAAGGTCAAGTGCATAGAAAATAAACAATTAAGCTTAAAAATCATAGCAAATATTTTCATTGAATATTAAATCACTTTAATACATTTTGAACACGTGCTGTAGATGATAATGCTTAATTTTCTGATGAATCAATTATGATTCTGTGAATCGATTTAGGAAGTTTACAAATTTCTAAATTCTTAAAGCTCTTTCATATAGCTTTCATGATATGTTCTGAATATAAAAGCAATAGCTTGGTTGTTATCAAACAAATTGGACATAGAACCGATCACTCAATCTTCAAAACCTATATTGAAGAACGCCATGAGCCAATGAACCCTAATCTAAATTTGATAAGCTTCAGAACATTCAAAGAATCAAATTTAAGGCCTCAAAACATTTCTAAAGTTATTAAATTCCACAAAACTTAATATTTAATTCAAAAGCCTGACATTCAAGCAAATAATAATGTCAATTCACAGTTAACAACATCTAAGAAATGCCAATTGAAACAGTTGACAATAAATTTCATTATTCACAACAACCTGCAAAAAGTCAGAAACAAAAGAAACTCATTCTCAATTTTTTCTACTTTTGAATAATTTTGTTTTGTCTCTCTCAGTAAATAAGTAAATGGAAACAAGTCTCAGAGTTGAGTCATACATATTATAGCATCGGAGTAATAAATATGAAGGTTTAGTGAGTTTTGAGGATTAAAATGGCAGTGACGCTTTTGAGATTTGATTTAATTCTTAGAAAGTTTTCCCTGATCCTTTAAAAAATCAAGTTTTAAAGCTTCAATGCCTTAAAATTCACCTTCCCATGACATTCTGTCAAAACAACATTAAACTCTCTCACTAAATACCTGAGCTCAAGTGACAAATAAAATATCAGCAATTATGTGAATTAAAAGTTTCTCCGATCTCAGTCAGGAGAGAAACTTCGAATAGCAAACGTCGAGTTTCTTAGCTTCGGCTTATCAACTCTCGAAAAAATAATAAGCAACAAAAAAATAATTCAAAAATGAAAATTTCACTATTTGTTTCCATTTTTGTCATCTTCTGTGTGCATTCAAGTGAGTATAGTGCCTTTCATCCCTAATCAACGACATCCGTAATTCATATTTATTGATATGGATACGGAGTACATTTTTTAATATTTCATTTTTTGCGACACAAAAAAAATCCGTAGTGCCTTCATATAGAGGCTCTCATGAATATGTGAGTGAGTGTCAAGAGGTTATTTGTTTTGAATCCGAGCAAGTGCGATACTGCGTTGATCTCGCAGAGGTCATCAATCATTTCATGAGATGAATACGAAAAAGATGAAATATATACAAAAAATAAGTGAGAAAAGTTGGGTGATGTATTACGGGATGGTGGAATTGAGGCGTAGATTTTTACGAAAAACTAAGTTTGAACTTGAAATGTGTATGAAAAAGTATTTTTAGAGGAAAAAATAACTAAATGATCATATTTTCATTAATGTTGATGCTTAATTAAAAGATACAAGCAAATAAATCGTTTTTAGTTCACAATAATCAGTAAATTCAATTCTCCTTTAAGTTATTATTTCGAATTATGAACAAAGGGTGTGAAACTACTAATGTCCGTTAAATCAGTAAATCACGTTTATTATTGTTAGAATGAGATTAAAATGGAATTTATCAACGGTATTGGTTCCAATCATAAAAAGAAAGCTAGCCCGAATATGCTTCCTAGCAATCACATTACCCATCCTCGAAACAATATTCAAATAAATTCCTAAAGAGCTCTTAAATCATAAAAAAAAAGATTTTGCTCAATCGATTTCATCCACAGTGCTTATTTAGCATATATAATAATTCAAAAACAGAATTTATTGAAGAAGTATTGCCAAAAAGAAATCACTAGAAACAACAAGCACAGACATACAACTCTGGGTTAAACGTTTAAAGCAAACCTTTTTCTTTTCGTCCATGAAGAACATGTAATGGCATTGAAAATATGTGGGATCATATACAAAATCACGTGCTCAATCAATCAAACCTTTCATTCAATTTAACACGAGCAATTTGATTTTGGAATTGCTTACGCTAATTTGATATTTCATAAACTCATTGATCTTATTATATTTGATGTATTTGCGATGTCTCTTGCTTTACATGTGTCTTATAAGGTAGAATGGAACTAATGATGTGGTGATATTCACATGATATTCATAATTTATATGGAAATCAATTTGAGGATTTCTCTGATAAGACATGAATCATAAACAAATAATCGGCATTGGATTTACAATCAGTGTAGACAAGTGTGGAGGTGTAAAATATTGTGAATTTATAAAAATTGTGAATTGTGGCTACAGCCTATAATTATGAAAATTATAATCATGAAACCATCAAATATCTTCAGGGAACATGATACCAAACATCAACCATTCTACCTCATTAGTCTCTTATTCTCATTACAATGTCGGTTAAATAATTTGATCAATTGTTGAACTAATGTCAATACCAAACCATCGATGTAGCCCCCAGTTCCGAAATGTTAATTACAGAGTCAATGCAAATTACATTTTAATTAATATTTGTCCAATTTGTCTACTTTTAAGGCCATCAGCAATTCGGTCGTCAACAGCAACCAAATATTCATTCACTGAGCTATTCAGACTCAGATTTTAATCCTTTGCCACCTATGCGCACAACTCCTACAACCACGACGACCACAACAGAGGAACCAGAAGCTACGACCAAAAAGAAGGGATTTTTCAGTGGAATCTCAGGATTTTTCAAAGGAAATAAGGATAAAGATAAGGATAAAAGTACTACAACTAGTACAACTACAACTACAACAAAGAAGCCAGCTGTAACTTCAACTTCCGCTCCAACAACAGCAAAAATTGCGACTCCACCTCCACTTATCACTACAACTACTCAAAAACCAATTCCTACAACTGCAAAAGCTATTGTTCCACAACAACCAGTGACGCCAAAACAAAATGTCCCTCCAACACCATCAACAACTGTAAAGACAACAGTTAAGGATGATTTCCCTCCATTACCAGGTGGTCGTCCTCAACAAACTCCAACTCAACCACAAAGATTTTCACCTCCTCCAATTCCAACAAAAAAGGATGATTTTCCACCATTACCAAGTGTAACAGGTCGTCCTCAACAACCAGGAGTTCCAACAACATCAACCCCCGCAGTTCCAAATGCATGGAATGTTAAACCACAAATACCAACAGATAAGCCAGTCAGCTTTTTCTCCCAGCCACCACCAGTAATAACGACAACAACGAGAAGACCACAAGTTCAAACACAAGGATCAAGAGATAGTGAATCTAAAGCCACTGATGCTGAATTGTTAACATTGTCTGATTCGTTGTTTAGCAAGGACATTTATAATCCGTTTAAATTCGTTATTGTGAATTATCAAGGTCGTACACAATCAAGTGCCACTACAGATGAAGCATCACAACCGTAAGTCTTCCTATATAACTCAATTAAATTTTATAGAATGAAAACATAGGAGAAATATTATTAGAGTTTATTGTCGTGGAAGAATCTCGGTCAGTTTGTGTATAGGGTGAATTTCTGTTTTGGGAAATGAAGTGTTGATGATGTTTTGCGATTTGTTTTGTGGTTTTGTCATTGGATTAAGATGTTTTGTTGAGTGATTTGTAGGTGAATTTTGTTTTGTGGTTTATTCGGTGATATCGAGAGAACTGGGACGTAATTTTAAGTTTGTAACGAAAAGAACTTACCTTTAGTTCCTAATATGCCTTAGTTTTTCATTAAACTGAACTAAAAACACTTAAATTCGCATCAAAAGATGCAAAACTATTCAAATTTTAAATTTCCGGTGAACGATTGTTTCGATTTTGCATAACAATCGCAATGTAATTAAAAACTTCAATACCACAATCCACCCTCAAACTCAATTAAATTTCATTGAATAGCGATCATCATCAGATTAAATTTAATTCCACAACCAACATTCGTTCTTTCAATTTTACAGTTTACTGCAAATCGATGAGAAATTATACAGTGTGAATACAGTGGAAAAAATGAAATTGATGTTCAACAATTATGAGCAAGACACATCAATTAATGAATATGTCACACCGATAGAAAGAAAGGAGGAAAATGATTTTATCGATGCGGTTCTACTAACGCCTGTTATGAGGTTTCTATTCAATTTATTTTCATTACAAAATTGATTCTTAAAAAAAGAAATTAATGCCACCCACACATCTCGATCATTTTAGACATGCCATGAACTTTTTGACCCAAAAAGGAGTTGTTACAGCTGATCCAGCAACACATAAGGAACTTTTAAAAACAATTTGGTTTGGAATGTATTCGAGAGGTCACGGAAAGATTAGTAGTTCTGGATTTGAGCATGTATTCATGTCGGAAGTAAAGGAGGGTAATGTGATTGGATTACATAACTACATTTATTTGACTGAACAAGAGAAGTCGAGGGATGTCGACTACAAAGGATGGCTAAAGAAAATTGATTTAGGAAATGTAAGTTGAGTTTTTTTTTGGAATTGAGATTTTATGAACAATATGGGAATCGAACACACGTTCTCATCGTAAGAAGGGATACTGAGTGGTGTTCAAAGACTTGACTGCAGATCAAGTCCATTGCTCTCTTATTTTGGCGCGAAAATGCCCAACCCCCTTCTCATCAAGCTATTTCCTCTAAAATCTGCCAGTAAAGTTCAAAAGTCAAAGATTTCATACAACATCTACCCTTTAAAGTGCGAATCATGTAAAAAATCTTAAAGCATCCTTATTCAATCCAAAAATGTATCTAACATCTCAATTCCTTTACGTTTTCATTATTTTTTGTGACTCTGTAAACATTTTTTTTTTGCTCACATTTTATCTTTCCTTCTTTATCTTTCACAATCAGAAAGGACAAATCGCAAAAATTCGTTTTGCATTGAATGGCCTTGATAAACCATCAAATTCGTTATTCATCGGTACATCACCGGAATTGGAGCTAGCTTTATATACCGTATGCTTTGAAGTGAGACCAGATCAAGAGTGCCGAATGGCTTACGGCGGAAAAGATTTTAATATTGTCACGCATACATTCAGATATAGAGGAACGAATTACATCGGCAGTGCTTATCCTGAAATTTAGAAATGAAATTGAATATGGGATGGGAGATGAGGTGATTGAAGATTGGAGTGTGGTGCATATGGATTTTTTTTTAAATTGGATTGAGAGGTAAGGATGTGAATATTGAGATGGGAAGTCGAGTTGGTTGATGGAATCATGACTTTTGATGACTTTGTGTCATAGTTTCTTGAGTATTTGGTTTGATCCGGGCAACACATTGTGTCAATGGCATTTAAATTGCTAACATGAAAGTAGCCTTAAAAACACTCAAATCTGAAAGGAAAAATCAACAAAACTCCACATTAGTACCACAGTTCAATGTTCAAGCACCTTTGCTGAAGTCAGTTTGATTTCTAGAAGCACATCTTTTGCCCACCCCCTCTGAAATTTCAAAAACAAGACAAAAGACAGTTTAATTTTTAATGTTTTGATGTGTCTGCATGTATTGTACTCTGCACTTTATTTTTCATGCATTATTTGCGCAAAAAAAACTCGACAATATGTAATAATAATAAGAATAATAATTTTTCTTCATAGATTTTACAAAATATGCATTAATAATACTCGCATTTTTGCTTTATTCTCTTCCATTTCCTCAATAATTAAATATCAAACAAAAAAAATTGTTGAAGAAAAAAATAATAAAAACAGTGAATTTTTAAAGACTAAAAATTTTTAATATAAAAAAAATTATTTAAATTTTCTACATTCAATCAAATTGCTACAAATTGTATTTTTTATTTTATAAATTACAGCTACAGAAAAGAATTTCTTTCTTCCTTTTTGTATTGCGACGAGATTTTACTGATTATTATTTTTTAATGCTCAGCACTTCTACTATTAGTAATTAAGTTATTTGTTACAAAGTGATTTTTTGGCTGTCAAGAAGCAATCGAGACTCAATTGCAGAGTTTTGATTAGTTTTTTTGGGCAGCAAAAAATATATATTTTTTTTTGATAGGGATTTTAAGATCCCCAAAAAATTTCAACTATTTATAAGAATTTAATATATTATATTCATATATTCATGAAGCATTTGCTTTTAAGTTTCTTTCAATGATTTTTTTATTTTGTTTCTTTTTGCTATGAAATAGAAATTGTTCTTTGGTCGATAAGGAAAAGCTCTAGACTGACATAAAGTTTTTATAGAAATTGTTTTTATTTTTTTTGTGAGGATTGATTTTTGATTATTATTTATTCATGACCTTGCTGAGATTGTTGTGGTTGGAGAGTAAGGTGGAGTATGGAAGGATTGGGTTTAGGTTGGATAACTTTCTTTTCGGATTAGCCATATACTCAACTTCATCATAGCTCCACTAAAAATTCATTAGCTTTGATTAAAAAGGTACCAAAAAATTACAAAGTTTCATGAATTTAAAGTAGCTTTCACATCCAGCAAGGTCAATAATCTGAATTGTCATGTAAAATCAAAGATCTAAGGCTCCTTCCAACTTTGGTCATACAATCTTTTCATCCTCATAATGCACTAAATACAAAACTTATGAACCGGATCTATAAGCCTTAAAATTACATACATTTTTCATGTCAGTGGTCTAAGTAAGTTAAGAGATGGAAAAAGAAGGAAGAATATTTATGCTTTTTGGGGGAGGTTTTGGTGATTAATTTGTTATGAATTTTCATTTTAATGTACATTGCAGTAAAGAATTCATGAATTTATCAACTCTATTTCAGCTTTTTTTACAAAAAAAATTTTTGGCATTTTTTCCTGGTTCCACAAAATTAACATTAATTAATTATTTCTTGTCGTCATCTACTACTTAATTAACTACTTAAACATTTGTGAATTTATCTTTCTTCCCATTTCTCATTTCATGTGTTTAAAAATTGGTCGTGTCATCATCCTCCGTTACAGCCAACACTTGCTTCTCTTGAAAAGTTCCATTTTTCATTTCATATCGATTTCTTAAGCATGTCAACTCGGATAATAGACGATTATTGGCAGCATCTAGCTCTGCAATTTGTTGACCTTGTGCTTCGATAACGCGTTGCTTGTGATTTATTATTAGAGACATTTTGTATTGTTCACGTCGAAGCTCTTCTTCCATTGCCAGCAATCTAGAAAGGAGATGGTAAAAGAGAAATAGAAAATTAGTAGCTGAATTATGTTTGCAGGATTTTTTTGTATTTCAAATAAAGTTCATGCAACAACGGTTTTAAAAAAATTTGAATTTTCTGATATTTCAAAATGGCGGATTTTCATCACTTCAAAAAGTTTTTCTCAAATAACTTCAAAGAGAAGCTAAATTGGAACAAAGTGAGTTGATTTTCTGATAGAAAAACATGGCAAAATTAATATAGCTCAAAAATTTTCCTTGATATTGCTTTATGTGAAAAGCAACCATGACAACAACGTCTTGACATAAATTGAATGAAGCACTTAACCAAATTTTATTTAAAAATCAAGCACTTCTAGTGATTTGCAAAACAAGAAACATTATCAAGGTCAATGATGTTTACATTTTGATAAAATCATTTTAATTTAATTCAACTCTTAACCCAGACCTTCTTAGAAGCATCTCAAGATATCACATTAAATCTCAGAAAGTCGTTGCAGTACCATTTCGAAATATAACAATTCCATTTCAATTCCTCTCGAACGTAAATAGCAACCATCAATAGAAACCGAAAAAATAACATACCTTGATATAATACTTCTAATTTTACTGTCACTCTGATTCGCTAATGCGTCAATACTATCGCTCGTCTCCTTTAACTCAGATTCTTCCAATTTCTGACGTAAAATATCAACACTCGATTGTAATCGATGAATTTCTTTCTCGCATTGTTCGATTGACGATTTGTTCATGTTACGACGTCGTTTGCCTTCTTTATGATGATGAACTGTGAAGATAAACATATTTTTACGTATATTAAATTTTTCCTCGTGGAATTTATTTTATTGCTTCTTCTCACCTTCTGTATCACTTGAACTGTCTGATAATGTCCTTGCCGACTCAACACTAAGACGACGCTCATATCGATTGTTGAAATATGCCAACTGATTATTGTTATTATTGTTGATGTTGGGGATATTATTGTTATTATTATTATTATGATGATTGTCGTAAATTCCATCATCACGTTTATACTGTAAAGGGTAGAATAGGAAACATGTAGAATGTGTATAATTTGATCAAAATTGTAAGTTGATTATGATGTATGTGGATCTTTTTTTATGAAGGCATGTGGTGCAATTTGAGTTCAGCTTGACGACATAACATAGTAATTTAACTTTAAGTAATTCTAGGCTTTCAGGTGAATCAAGTTTAGCTGAATAGTGCTGAATTCAGCTCTGCTGAATAGCACTGAATTCAGAAAACTGAATACTGAACTTTGACAGCGCTATAAAGTCACAAAGCTGCCTCAAATAATGACCATCATTCATCCAATAAAAATTCCAACACTCATGACTCATTCCCTTACCTGAACAAGTGGATTTGTTCTTGGCATTCGATTACTGCCCATTCTACGTCCATTAAGCGATGATGTATCGATTACACCCGGCACATTTGTCGATGATGAGACTAAATTATTATTATTCAAAACGTTTTGTCTGTCATCTATTGTTATCCTCTCCTCACTACTTGATGGTGTCAGCGATGAACTCTTTGCATCAATATTAGTGCCATTTTGTAGTTGATAGAGTGGATTCTTGAATGCGAGTGGTGGATTGACTGAATATTTTGGACTTATGTAACCGTATTTTCCATTTAATTTTGTAGGACGTGTTGTTGTGCTTGCGTTACTTGATGAACTCGAATTTTGAATTTTAGCATTAAAGAATTCAATATTTTGCTGAATGATTGACTGTGCATTTACATTTGGATGACCATTTGATGTTATAATCACATTCTCAATTGGACTGGAACTCTGTGATTGCGTTTGAATAGATTGATAGCCAGATGAATGACCAATCGAGACATTGCTACCCTTTGCTTTCAAATTTGGATGATGGTGGATGCCACTTGGGTCTTGTATTTTTTGTTGTCGCTGTTCCATTTCCTCACTGTATTTAATTAAGTCATCAAAATCTTCGAGATCACGTGGCATATTGCTATTTGGTGATTCATATGATGACGAACCAGCTTCAGTATGTGGTATGCCTAAATTCAATGCATTCGTACGTTGAATATGATGTTGCTGTTGCTGAATATGATAATATTGGTTCTGTGATCGATCACTTATCAAACTTAATTGTGAGCCATTTAATTGACGTCCATTCGTATACACGGATGGTTGAGCTTTTGCATTTGCTGTTGTCAATAAGCCTTGATGCATTCTCGGCGTTGGACTCTTCCTTGAGAATGGATTACTCGGATCAAGTCCAATTTGTATGATATTAGTCTCATCATTTTGAATTTGTTGATTATTTCTTGGCAGTGTACTCGCACGCATCGATGATGATGCCGGACTCTTTGGCTCATTTCGTGCCAAACTGCTTGTAATTTGATAGTAATTATCTCGCTTAGTGCTAGTTATATTATGATGTTGAATACTGTTTGCATTATTCATGATTGAATTGTTATGAAGATGAGATGATTGGATACTCGATGTTGAATGTGAATGCTGGAGTGGATTGAAGCTCATTTTTTGTTCTCCGTTAAGGAGGGAGTAGACAGTTGGATCGTTGTAGCAGAACTAAAAAGATTTAAAAAAATAAATTTAGCAGAAAATAGGCAACAGCACAACGAAGACAGTGAGAAACAGATTTCAAATTTTAGATCCCTATTGTAGGATTTGAACCTTTGATTATTATCAATATTCATATTATTCAAAAATTATTTTATTCAAACTGCTACAAAATTCCATCTTTAATCCCAAAAATACTCACAATATTTTTCTGCAATGAATTTGGTGTCAAAACACCACGAATGATTCCTCTCTCAGGATTTGGTTGACTTGGTAATCCATGTAATGAGCTCATCGATGGTTGTCTTCCATTCAATTTATCCATCGATTGGAAATTCTGTTCCGATAAGTGCCGTTGGTAATTATTCTCCGTTGATTCTTTAATTTGACTGACACGATCGAGTATCGATGTCAATTGTGTCATTTCATTTTGCTTTTGTGGTGGTAACTTGGGGAGATTCTCGGTCAGGAGTGAGTGTAGGACTGACAATTGTTTGCCTTGATCAATGTAGCCTGACCATTCAAGGATTGTATCGTTGTGATGGAGTTCCGCACGTGACTAAAAATGGAATAACTGATTAGTTAATGAACTAAAGAATGTCATGGATCAATAATACTTACAGAAATCTTATTGAGGAAGTCCTTCATTCGAGGAGCTTCCTGTTCAAGGAAATCATTCAAGAATTCCATAAAATTTTCTTTGCCTTGGAATCTTGTAAAGTTCGCAAGAGTCTGAAGTGTCTTAGCGACAAGTGTCAAGTTCCTCGTCGCTCGTTGTGATGGCAATTCATTTGTAATGTTGAATAGACTCGGCGATAAAATTGAAGGACAAAGGAATCTTAAGAATATGCTTGCAGATATTAAATTATCAGCCATATCCTCACGATTTATGTTTAATAAACGTTCACGAAAGGTGGCAAAGCACTCCCGAAGTTGTGATGGAAATTGTCGGTGACTGTCATAAATAGCATTCCATGCAAGCTTTACAGCACTTCTCAATGACTGTTGTTGACGTGACAGAGAGCCACTTGCCTTTAATGGATCAACTTCACAATCACGTTCTGATGCAATTATTTCATTTATTGGTGCTGAGAGTGTATCCTGAAGGTATTGTTCACCGGTAAGTTTAAGAAAAGCTTCCATGCTCTTTGTAGCTAGTGAATTTCCACGGAATGTTAGCCGTTGATCACCAACACGAAGTAAATCAAGTGTAATGATTTCTGTTAAAAATTCAGCTGCCATTCCTTGATGATGCATTTGTAGTACTAAAGCCTGTCCAATATCTTCCTTAGCCTTAACTCCAATCACTGGCTCTAAGCATTCACAAATCTTTTTGTAATGCTCCTTGAGATATGCTTGAAACGGTGAATATACATCTATTGGTAGAATATCAATACTCTGAAATCGACACTTAATCCTCAATGTTGGTATTGGTTCCTTTGTTGAATTCTTACTTAAACTATCATGCTTATCGGCTATAATTGGATACCAATCTTCCGAAAATGTCCGACTTGTGACTTCGTGTATTGGAATTTTTACAGTACCAACCAGGACATGCTTATCACGTTTCTTCTTCTTTTCACATTCTCGAAATACGTTGACATAAATGACATTAATTTCGGGTATGTCAGGAAAATCAAAATGTTCACCCCAAAATAATAAATCGGTTCTAAGTTTCACCGACGTTCGTCCATAAAGTGTCTTATCGAGGCATATCTCACAAAAATATTTTTTCTTTGGTGGCAGTGCTTTCCCCTCATAAATCCACATTTTTAATGAGTTGTCTGTTCGTCGAATACTTTCAGCATTTGGTTGAATTGATTTTCTTAGACTATAAATCCAAAGGTCACGTTCTTGACGTGAGCCACAGCTGTAATAGCGTTCACCACGTGGTCCTCCACGAACTTGAAAACAATGACGTCGTCCGAGAACGGATGAATGAACAGGCGCAACACCTACAGCGCCAATCACTGATAAATCTGTTGCCGAATTAGAAAGGAAATTATGATTATCCAATGGATTTATTATACATCGAAAAGTCACACTCACCGATTGTCGACATTACAGCATGATTGGATAAGAGACTCTCATGCGATCGTGATCCACGAATTCCTCCACCACTTCCATTTCCTCGTTTCGTTCTCTCCAATTTTGTCACCGATTTTGTGCGTTTTAATGGATTTGATCTAAACGAGCTCAGACTGTTAATTATATATGGTAGGCATAAAAAAGAAGAAAAAAAGTGGCGGATGGGGGGAAATGGAAATTAGAATGTTAATTGAGTTTATGATAAATGTGCAATAAAAATGTGAATCGAAAATTGATTTTTTGAAGAACTATATTAGATGCTATTTACAAAACAAAATGTACACACATACATACTGGCTACTAGCTACTGTGGACGAAGTATTTTTTTTATGGTATATGGAATGTATTTTCAAAGCAAAGGAGTCACGATTAGTAGATTTATAAGTCATAGAGTTAAGAACTTTAAAATTCTAGTATAGAACCACCATGGCTCTAGTTTGGAGCCAAATTCAGGCTACGTTGAAACTATACTTGCCCAATTAGACTCGTCTTTGTGTCATTCGGACTTTATTCATAGTTTTGTAGCCAATTTCTAATCATGCAAAATTAAAAATAGTTTAGGAACTATAAAGCTACTATTATTGGGTGTTACACCACCCAAACTGGCTTTTTAATCAAGATTCTAAAAACTCAATTTCGTTCCTTAAAAACTGTGCAACTCAACTCATTAGCCATAAAATTATCAACAAAATTCTACTCAAATTACAAACTCATTATCATCAATTTCAAACCTAAAACTACACAATCGTAAACCATAAAAAATTACTTCGTTTGTTAAAAAATTCTTCAAATCAATTTTCTTTTTACTTCAACTTCCAAAAACAACTTAATAATGAACGTGCGTGATCATGTGCTCGATTAATTTTTTCACCCATCATTAATGTATTCCATCCAAAAAAAAAAAAACAAAAACATTATAAACCCCCCCAACTTAGTCATCACACAACTTTTAAGCTTAATCCTAGCAATTTAATTCACGGAAGAAATGGAAATTTGTCACTTACCGTTTTGAGAAAAATATCGTGAATCGTGAGGTTGATGATTCAGGTTTTTGAGTAAGCATCGGTGTGCTGGGAGCTGATCCGCGTCTGCATGCTTTCTCATAAGATGTGTCTGCAAAAAAAGAAGAAAAGAATTGTAGTAAAAAATTTATAAAATTTGCTTATTTAGATGAGAAAGATAAATTGAATTAGAATGTAGAAAGTAACAAGTGGCTAGTGGCTGCTATATACAGAAGAATGATTGTCTCACATTAACAGTATTCTACGTAAAACATGATGGTATTTTAAATAAATTGTTCAGCAGGAAGGGACAGTTAATTAATTTTTATTCTTTATTTATTTCTTGCTCTTTCTAATTTTGTCATTTATTGGAATGGATGTGGAATTTTTTTGTTATTTATAGTCACGAATGTGTTTGCTACACATTTGTTTTAATGATGTAAATTAATCAATCTTCCTTCTTTTCTTTTTGTCGTTTTTAACGAACAAAATATTTTGATGAGTTCTGGGGCTATTTAAGGATAAGTGGCTGGCTATTTATGAGCAGATTGGTAATATTTTGATAGTTTTTATTGCTTATTATAATTTTTTATTGTTTGTTGAACGAAAAATTATATTTTTGTATATTTTTGTGTGAATTAATGAATTATATTGGCTCAAAACATTATTATACAACCTTTGCCACGTTATAGAATTTTATAGTTTTATTACTTTAATCAAATTTGCTTCAAAACACGAGTAAAATTGAAAAAACTTTTTGAAGTGAGAAATTTTTCTCGTCATTTTGAATTTTTGAGCACTGAAAAATTAAATTCTAGAAAGCCGTTATAATTTTTTTTAAATTGTATACTTTACTTAAAAATGTAAATGCGCTTCAATCCTAATTTAAATACATCCAAAATCTTAAAAGTCTACCGGAAGAAAAAGGGCATCGACAGGAGCATTAATTACATCAAATAAAATTAATCAAGACGATGATATCAGCTACTCGTCTTCTATTTTTATTATAATATTAGGAAGTCAAAAAGACATTTCAATTTGATAATGAAAATCATTCAATTTAAGATGAATCGAGTTCGTCAATTAAAATTGAGTTGTTTTTAATTTCTGATGACTTTTATGGGAAGAAATGTTGGCTTTTGTCTTGACTCTCGTGAAATGAATTGATTGTGAATTATTTTTATTAATTAAAGCAGATTATCCACTAATTTTGATGAATTTTAATTGAATTTTGAAAAGAGATTTTAAATTGTCGATTTAAAAATTATAAAATGTTTTAATTGCACGACTAAAAATGCATTTTAAATGGTCTTTTGTAAACAGATACGGAACTTAAATTCGACTGAAGTTAATCCACCAAAATCCCATCACAATAAGTAAAACTCAATGAATTTTTGATTATTATTCGCAATAGAAACTACTAACAGTAATTGAATTTTGTTTCCTTAATTATAATATCCGATTGTATAGCTGCAAAAAGTTATGAATCGTTTAGTTCATAATTGTAGAGATTTTACTATAAAGTAAAAATTTAACGGAATTTTTAAATTGAAACTTTAAAAACTGTGTCAAGTATTTGCAATTTTTCATTGCTTAATCAACTAGATCGGTGATTTATTGTCTATTGCTGTAAAAGTAGGAACTACTCTATTGTTTTATGAATACTAAACTAGATTATTGTAGATTGAGTTCTTTAAGAAGATTAAAATATTAAAACTCAACCGTTAAGTCAAATTTAAATTTATTTTGACCGTTTTTAACATCTAATTAAATTCAAGTACCGCAAATAACAATTTAATTGAGTTATGCTGAATGATTCTAAACTAGACGTTTATGACCATCGCTTTGAAATAGCCCATTAGCCATATGGCTCATCACATAAACTTTTATCATTCAAAAATTGCCAAGTCACATTTCAAATTAATAATTCGTGACTTTCTGACTTAAAAAAATTTCATTTTTTTGTCGAATTAAAAAGCCTGATTGTATTGTTCTCTCTAAAAAAACTCAAAACTTCAAGGCCGAACTAAATTAGCATGTATTAGGGTTTCTGAAGCCGTTAACGAAAAACGGAAAACGGCCGTTAACGGCACAAAAATTGAAAACGGAAAACGGCCGTTTTTCATTCCGTTTTTCCGTTTTCTCATAGTTCATACAATGTAATTTTAAAAATTTTTTTTGGTTATTTCTTTTAAAAATTATTCTCAAAAACAGTTAAAAGTTTTTGCAATTGAGATTTATTATTATGGATTGCCTGGAAAGTTTGAAAATCTCATTTCAAGTAGTATATTAGAATCAGAAATGTAATCATAGTTGCGAGTCCAGTTTTGTTTGTTGTTTAAATACAACAAATCAAAATCTGAACTCAAGAATTTACAACGGGTTTTTCATATTTGATTTTTATCAATTTTTATGAAAAATACAGGAAATCGATCGGAAAATCTTCAAAAACTTTATGATGCTTTGTTGTGTATTAAGCCGACTATTACAGATGTGGAGCGAATATTTTCAATCTGCAATAATTTTTGCACAAAGATTCGTTCAAGGCTGGCTGATGCATCACTAAATGCTCTTGTTTTTCTTAAGTTCTATTATAATAAAATGAATAAATAGTTATAATAAATATAAATAGAACTTAAGACTTTCTACATATTATCTATATAGAACAGCAATTCTTTATCTTTTGAGGAATATTTCATTTATATTTGGGTATTTAAAAAACTTAAAACGGCCCGTTAACGGCCGTTTTTGAAAATAAAAAACGGAAAACGGCCGTTTTCGAAAATGCCGTTTTTCAGAAACCCTAGCATGTATTATATACAGTAGAACATATGTATGATAAGCAATTTTACATTTTTCGTCACATCAAATTTTACATGAATTTTTTTATAACATTAGAATTTTGTCGTCTCTTTCTTATTCCTCTTTTAAAAAACACATTAAATTGTTCAAGAATTTCAAGTATTTTTTTATATGCGACCAAAAAATAATAAAAACATCACTTTTTTCAGAAGTCTTGTTCAAGCAACAAACAAAATTGCACACTTCACATCATAATTGGTTTTTTTTTTCATTCAAGATGCAGACAAAGAAGAAAAGAATTGAGGACAAAAGAGGAGCTAGAAAGAATCAGGGCATAAACAGGTAAATTTAAATTTTTCTAACACGCAAAAAGGTTTTCTAATGTTGAACACAAAACAATTGGCAAAAAAATAAGATTATCTTAAGTGCCATGCCATATTCAGGATTTTCTAATATAATCATCATGTATGGCATCCCTTTAGCATCCTTATTCTTCATAAAAATTTGACCTTCTCGCATGAATCATCAATGTCACATTTTACTGCGTGTGAAACAATTTCAACCCTTCTTGCTTTCCACTTTTTTGAATTTTTTATTCACCAAACCCTCAAAAAAAAATTGCATATAAATTTCATTAATAAATTATTGTGACGTTTTTCTTATTCATATTCATTCGCGCTTATGTGATAACTCCATTTGTGAATAGCTCTCTATGTTTAGAAGTATTAGGAAGAAGACAATCGGCAACTACACAGCGTGAAGCTACAGTTGCAAATAAGGTTGGTTTAGGATTTGTGAATGAGGCGCATTTGGCGCGCGAATAGAGTAATAAGATTAAATATCAAAAACTTAACGGTTTTTTAAAATTCAAAATTTTTTCTTCCACCTCGAAAAGTATTTGTTCATTTTTAATTCAATGCTTCATTCTTTCTTAATTCTGTTTGCGTGGTCCTGTTTAAAAAAGTGGCAAGACTTTTATATCAAGACTTATAAATTATTCGGGAGTTACATAACCTCAGAAAAAAAAATTTAAACCCTCCAAAAAAAAATCAAAATTTTAATTTTTCAGAATTTTTTATTCCAAAGTTCCCTTTTTACATTCGTTTTATCATCCATCTCTAGTTTATCGAGTTTATCACTAAATTCTCGAGCCAACAAGTAACAAAGAGACAAATTTCAAATGAATCTTCAATATTTCAAGAAATTATGCTAGGAAGTCGTCTCTTTTCTAATTTTAAACATGAATAAACCCGAATGGTCAACATATGTGTGACAGTTGAACAACAACTTAATGTTTCTCTTAGAAATCATCCTTCTTCTTCATTTCCCTCAATTTTTTGTATTTTATTTTCCTTTCCATTAGGTCGATTTATTTATTTCTTCATGCAATTCACTTTCATTTACTCGTCATTTTTCCAAATCACTGAATCTAATTATTATTATTAAAATGATGATGGCAAGAAGAAAAAAGGAACAACTTTCTCCATGCATGCAGAAAAAAAGTAGCTCGAGAATAAGATGAACAGGCTTTAAAGAATAATTTTTTACCGCATGAACATAAAACCTGAAAGAAAACCCTTTCATCTTCTTTTGTTGTTGACTCAGTTTATTCAGATGAATAAGAAGCAAAAAAAAAAATTATATGTATCTAGGCTGTAAACGGGAACAGAGATGCAGTCACAGAATATAAAGTGAAATCTCGACATTCCAAGATGTCCACAACAAGACAGCAGACACAAAAAAAATCCCTTTATCTGAGTCGGTTATGTTCTCATCTTCTTCTCTCCCATATCTCTTGATTGTCATTGTTTTGAGGTCATAAATAATGAATGCCATCATAAGCTTTTTTTTTTTTTACATAATAATAACAATAATAATCGTGATCGCATGATGTTGATATAATCAACATGTCCATTTTTCATAATAGAAACTAATCCACATCTGCCTTTGATTCCCTTTTGCTCTGTCTCGATTAATTACTTTTTTTTTCGAACCAGCATAACTCAACTCAGTCTGTCAAAAAATGCTCCAAACTCTACCGCAAAGTGCTCACATTTCAATGCTTCTGTAAATTTAGAATTTTTTTGTAACTCTCCTCCGGCATGTCCATCGAGCAGATGTAAACACTAGATTTTCACGAAAGAGAAAAATTACAGATCAAATGTGGCAATAAAGATACATATAATGTGTACATCTAATGACTTTTCGAAACGAAACATCGCGCACATATTGGAACTGCTAATTTTATCCTCGCCTCAAGCTGCAAAAATATGATTATGCGCCACATGGTGACCACATTTTTCGGCTTTG